GTTACGCCTTTTAACTGTTTTTAAAAAAATCGTGAGCGAAGAAAAATAATAACAGACTTGTTCTGTATTATTACTAAAACTTACACATATTAAAAGTATTTTATCAGATTATTAAATTTTTTATGATATATTTTTCAAGATATAATATTGATAATATTAAATTCGTTTCTGTTGCGTAAAAAATATTGTCGATATAGCTATTATAACTCTTAACATTTCAGATATCAAGATATACATTTTCTTAATGATATAATATTGCTTATAATATAAAATAATACATCAAGAGAAATAATTGCTGCCAAAGAAGGGATAATAATATAGCATCTATAATTTTAAGTTTTAATTTTTTATGTCGCTATGCTTTACTGTTTAAATTTGAATAAAATTATATCAGCAATTTACAATATTGAAACGTGTAAGAAGATTAATTTGACGGTCTAACTGTGTGCTGAAATTTCAAATTTCGTGTCCGCGATCTTTGGTAGCGTCACTTCCTATCCGCGTGAGCGAGTTCTGACCCATTTCACGAAGAAAGAAGCCAGGTCGGGCCTCTATCGGTTGTCCATCTGGTTGGCGTGTGACCTTTCGCATCCCTTCGTTACCTGGCCGCGCGAATAACGGATAAACGAACAATTTGGATTTCTTGGATTCATCTGTATGATAAAAGTACAGATAAAGTCAAAGTTTCTACTTTTTTTTTAATTTATATATTTGTCTATGACAAATTCATCAGTGCTTAATCTTATCTCATAAAACAAGCTGACCCCTTTCAGTGTGAGATAAAATTAAGAGAAACTGCGTTTAACGAAATGTGTAGTAAATATACAATGATTTCAATCATAATTGAGTCATAAAAATGTTTCCTGAAACTTGACTTTGGAATTGTGACAACAATAATGCCAAATATTGGTTAAAAAATACTAACGCTTACAAAGTTATTTAAAATATTAAATCTTGATTTTTAAAGATATGTAACTGGTTAATATATAATATGCAATTTGATTGTATATATAATCAATTAATCAGCTACACACACTACGAAGAAATTTGAGGCTTTTAAACATGTTAGGTACATGATTTCACATCGATTTTATAACGCTCATCGTCTTTACCTTTGTCTTGTCACGCCGTGTTATTGTGATCGATTGATATCATCTCTGCGTCTGCAGCAAATATGTAATTAATTGAATTTCCTTGTTTCTACGTGTACTCTTGGGCCGCCTGTGACAGCCGCGTGTTCAATAACGTTTGAAAACTACATTTCGCCATTTAATTTTGAGCATAACATTTTCATTCAGTTAATAGATTTCGTTCATATTGACAAATTAAGGAATCAATATATTAATATATTAATATATCAAGATACATATACATATGTCGACAATTTTTTGCAATTTGGTTAACAAATTATAGTGTCGAGCAGTAATGCATATGGTAATCGGGAAAGATGTATTATGAGAAAATATATGCAAATCTTTCCTTACTACTTTTCATACCATCTAACTTATATTGTATATATGTATATACATATACATATATATATATATACATTTTGTTTAACTTTAGTTTGAGATATCTTACAAAAATTTTATTTTTTTATTTGATGATACTTCTAATTATTAACTAATATTAGTTACTATTATATCAAAAATACCAAGAAGGAAATGCTCCGCTAGTTAAAATTAAAAATAAGGAAATAAACGGCGTAAGGAGCAAAGCGCAGTACTTAGGGTGCAAAAAACGATATTTATTAACGTTTAGTAACGTTATTTGTCGTGCTTTCCGGCGTCTGTTGTTTATAATTTTTATTTTTTAATTAATTTCATGACCGGTAAATAGCGCTGAAGATGACCCCAAAAAAGGTCGAAATGTACGCAATTTATAGTTTTCTCTATCATCATTAATTAATAAACATTGATTTTTGCGCCCTAAGTACTGCGCTTTGCTCCTTACGCCGTTTATTTCCTTATTTTTACTATTATATTAGTTACTAACAATTAATAAATATTATAATTACACAACTAAATTAGTGAATTTAATTTGAAGCTAAATTTTATATCAAGCATTTTGTGAAATCGTGAAAATTGCGTTTAGGATAAGTAATAGTCAGCATATGTTCAAAAGTTAAAATTTTCGCCTTTTCAGTGTTTTACCAATGTACATATCATATATAAAATTTGCATTAATTATTCAGAGACAGTAAAATATTAATTACTCTTATATCTAGAAAAAACAAAAAGTCTGTATTATTTTTAATCATATAATTAAATTAAGATGTAGTTATCTACTTAAGCAATTAATTGTCAATCACACATTATGATAAGATTAGTACTTCATTACTACGATCGTTAAAAAGAGAATTTTCTTTAATCTGATTTTTCGTATTTGTGTCACATAGTATAAGTAGTAATTCTGCTTAGGTCATATAAATGGAGATTGTATAGGTGTAGAAGGGTACAAAAGATCACGAGGTTGCTCGTAGAGCAGTATTCAAATTGCAATTTCAACTATAAATGCAAGCACGATAAAGCAAAATTGTGAAATCGTTTTTTCTTTGGCAGCAGTTTTTATAGTATCATTATAACAAAATTTATTTAAAATAATATATGTGGCGAATCTAGAAAACGCGAAAATTTAAAATATTCTATGCACAATTTTTCTTCTTTTTCGATTGATCTCTGTCGAGCAAGAAAAGCATTAAACTCGATAGCAATCCGTGGCGAAAACTATGCCTTGTCTCGTCGATCTTGAGATCCTTGATAAAAGAACATTAATTTCTAATAAGGTCAATGTAATGAGTCCTCGTATCTGCATTGGCAAGACGCATAATGTTCGTCAACCAAGTACCGCAGCATTGAATAGGCACTGAATTGCCTATGGTACAACTCATAAGGAACAAAAGCTTCGGGACGTGAACTATACATGGCCACAATATGACCACCCGATGATTCAGTACTTGGCGACACGTAGACGGAACTATAAATTAAGATTAATTGGACGAATTACATATGGATCGTATTTGATGCCAATCTTGATGCGTAAAAATGTAAAATGATTAGATCAATTTCAAACATTTGATCGAACAAGCGAGTGTACATGCGATGAAGGTAACAGTAATATCCAAACAGAACATATGCTCAAAACATATTAATATTTATAAAAAATATTTTAATTTTACAAATACATTATTTAAATATTTACTAAAAATTTTGTTATCTTTATGTTGTTTAATAAGATCTTTAAAGATAATATTGTGTTGTTAAATTTGACTCCCTAATGTAATAATATCGTATTATATATGTTATTATTTTTATATTTCTTGAAAAATATCCGGAAAGATCATCGTTATTCCAAGGCGTTTATTGATATTATAAATTATTTTTGCAGTAACTCGTTTATTTTCTTCTATGATGCGGGGTCTACGTTTCCAGTTTGATAAGAGCGCTCTAACGTCTGGTCGATTGCATGAAGGATATATACTTGAATAATACGCCTTGACCTCTCTTTTCTATTCGTTTTACAACGTCACTGTGTCTTGAATTCACCAGTGACGTCATAGAAAGCTTAACTCAAGAGCATTGCTCGCTCAGTAAAAACGGTCTTATTGAGTACAGCCGGTTGCGGCTCGCGTGCCGGCTATTTGGTTCCCTTATCACATCCGACGGAACCCTAAGTACGCAGTTTTTCTTTAATCAATCTCATCGGCGGAAATGGCAGTATTCAAATCACACGCTGCCCATATATAGCCTCATTTTTCGTCTGTTCATATCGCGCTAATCATATCGCAATTGGTAATAGACTTAATATACTGCCTGGCCAGGAATTACTGCGATCAGATTAAAATAGACTGAAAGTATGAGCAAAATACGTCGGTTGATTATACGAGAATAATATTCTGTGCGTTGTTTTGTGCATTTTTAAAATTTATTTTATAACTTTTTTTTTAGTTTTTAATATTTTAATTTTTCAATATATATAAATCAATATTTAAATATAAATTTAAATAAATATTTTCTCTGTTTTGTATGTTCCGTTATCTTTTTTTATTCATATATTTCAAAAAATATTTCCAATATTATATCTAAACAAATACTCTCGTTCATATTTTTTATACGCATTTATACGTGTATAATATATTTCAATAAAAAATTCAAAATTTGTCATAAAAATTATTACTTTATTGTTTATTTAATAAACATACAGAAGTTTTATAGCCAGACTTTGATCGATATGTCTTATATTTTCCAGATTTAATCTGTTATCGCAAGAAAATAATTTATTATATAAATATGATATAAATGTATAAACTTATTTTCGATATATATAGTAAGAAGTGGAAATATATAATATGAAACATAAATAAGACGAACTATTTGTATATATATGCGGAGATAAAAATATTTTCTTTTCCTGATATACATACATATATTCTAATGTCAATCATCCGTTCCACGAATGATACGCTCTTTAATCGAGCGATATTGATTAATTAAATAAACGTTCTAATTAACCAAACAAATAAACGTCTGAGATTAGTTATTACAATGAGTAATTGAGATGATTTTAATCACTCCAATCACTTAAGCAATCGCGTTAAGTCCTATTATTATAAACAAATCTCATGCATATGTTGATAATTAAAAAAAGAAACAAAAAAAAAATAACACGCAATTGATCCGATGCAGATAATAACTTCCAAATTTATTGTTTTCGGTTTACAGCATCATAATGAACTATATAACAAGCTTTATAAATATTATGTAATAAATTTAATAATTTAAACTAATAAATAATATAACATAAATTTAAACTACATTTTTTTTCTTTAAATTTTTCTTGCCTCTCATGTTAAATATAGTTAAAAATTGAGCAAGCAGCGAGATAAATTGATGAGTTTCTGTTGACAACGAGACTTGCATCGACGTGACCGACCCATGAAAGATAAGCGATGACCCAAAGAATGTCTTCCTCGTACTTAAAGATGTAGAGGGGGACAGTTTTTATCTCGACCTTTCACATCTATATACTTTGCCGGGTCGAGATTCGTTCTACATACTGCGCGCTGAACATTTAACAGACTCGTCTCAGTAAGAGATGTTCAGTTTACGATTACTCGTTCATCATGAAGGAACAGTCGAAAAGTGGTGAGAGTAAACATTAATATATATTTTTCTTATTTTCTCTACGTAATTTAATCATAATTGTAATTATATCATAATTACAGATAATTTATTAAAATATTAAAAAATAAAATCTAGAAGTATGTCTCACTGCATTTATATATAATATGCATATTTTTATTTTTACATTTTATTTACATTTTATTTTATATTTTTATTACACATTTATTTATTACAAAATAAACATGTTTTGTAATAAATAAAAAATTGTTGCCGCGTATATATATTTTTCTAATTTATTATATTTATATACATTTATCATGTCAACATACATTATATACATTTTATTTTGAACTATATATGTTTGTTTAAATACAATTTTTTGCCATTTTATTAGTAAAATGTATAAGTAAATAAAAATTTATATTTATACAGAAAAAGACTTAGTAGTAACTTTGGAAGAAGGATTACAACAGGAGAAGCAGGAATATATAAACAAGCTCAGATATAACACCAACTGTTGCAAGCAATGGATACGATGCATCAGACTAATATTTTTATTAGAACTGACGTTATTTTTTGGATGGGGTTGTTACATGATCTTACAGAGTTATCATTCCCGAGTAATGGAAAATGAGGTTACGGATAGCATTCGTGAGAGATATTTACCAGTGTTTGAATCAGTGTCTGAAGTACAGAAAGCACATCCAACTACGAAAGAAATGCCTGTGATATTTGTCAAACCGGAAATTATCACAGATAAGCTAAATAATTTTCTGGGAGGCATAGAATCGACTAAGGAACAAGGCAAGACAATTGTAATAGATGTAGACAGCATAATGCCAACGAGTTCACAGAATTCTATTAGCATGCTAAGTAATAATATGGTGGAAGCAAGTGATATCAATAATTCACCGATGACATCACCGTCGGAAGATTTAGTGTATAACGAAGAATTTATGAAGAATTTGATGCCATGGAAAATTTTTTCTTTCAAAGATTCTGTTAATAATAAACGATTTCTTGAAAAACTGCAAAATATAGCTAAATTAATAGAAATTAATGATTCAGAACAGTTTGAAAACAGCTATGATTTTACTGAGGATGCTAATCGATTGACGTTAAACAACCAGAAAGATCGTGCATTAGATACATCCAATGAAATCGAAAGTTTAGGACTTGATGTTACAACGAGTGTAAATCTTGAAGATTTCATGAATTTCAAAATAAACTTTGATAATAGTCCGCAAGATCTGGGACAGAGATTTCTCGATTTAACAAAAGTTGAGATGCAAGATGATCATGGTGAGAAGAAGAATGGTTTTTTGGAAGCTTGGACTGACGAACAAGTAAATACATCTTTAGAATCAGATCTCGTTATATGTCCACCTGATCAATCCTCTGAATCTTCTGATATGTCTTCAGAACATTTGATCACAAATCCTTTGATTTCTCAATCTGTATCAGTACCAGAATTATTAGAACAAATTAAAAATATTTTGAGTAATGATAATACAAAAAATAAAGATAAACATGACGCAGATGATAGTAACATGTCGATGTCAACATCATCTGACGCATTTGCGTCCGAAAACGATGAGCATTTTGCTTTCGATACACAGATACCTATCGTACAAAATATACAAGATCATCATTTGTCAGAAATTATTGCAAACACAAAAGAAGAAGAAGCAAAATATAATTTAATGAAGAATATTGAATCTATTGATTCCGAGTTTTTGCAACCAAAAATACAAGACATTGCAGAATCTTCGACACCAAATGTTAAATTTCAGTGGTTTAATGCGCCCCCTACTTTTGCAAACGATCTACAATTTGGATTGAAAGACATATCAGAATCGAGCAAGACACAAAATCCATCATTAGAGGATACAATTGAGAACACGGAGACCAACACTTTTATTCCAGGAAAAGATAAATTCCATATTCAATGCCAGACCGAACTCAAAATGAATGTTCTCAGAATTAGATGTCCTGAAATGATGATTGATGAAGAATGGAATTTTACTTCTTCTGGTACACATATAAACGATTTTTTAAACGTTAATAATTTCAAAAATAATTTTTCTAATATGGATGATTATAATGATGATTACAATAAAGATGAAAGCAAACAATCGAGGGATGAATCAATTTCTAACGAGAATTCTGATAAAAAAGTTGCAAGCTTGCAGCACAGTGTACCTAAAGTAACCGACGCAGTTGAATTACAAGAAAATATGTCAGTAAGAAGTTTGAAAAACGCATTTGATTTTACTTTCAAAATAGATTCTTTTGATAGACCAGAAATCGATAAACACGATGAAATTAATAGTCCAGACAAAGAAAAAATAAAGCAAGAAATATCCTCTTCTTCTACAACGATATCCTCCTTTACTAGTGAATTTGATTCAGACACCGTCGATTTGAACAAGGAGTGGAATCCATTATTAGAAATTTTCGATATGCTACAACAAAAACAATTAAAAGTTACAGAAGAACAAGATCTTTTAAATTCCAAAAATGCTGAAACTTTTTTGGAAAATAACCAACGCGTTTACGACTTGGAAAAGAAACTAACTTCTATATTTAATGATGAAATTTTAAATATTATAAAGCAACAATATCTATCAGAAAGTTTTTCTACAGATGATTATTCGGATTACATTTGCAACATTTCTCTTAACATCTGTTCTTCGTCTCCAAATTCATGGCGTCAGACGTATGTTGATTTAAAAAAATTCTTGGAACATGTACATGATCATGATAATCCATCCGATATAGGGAACGACTACAATTACAGAAAGAAACGAATGGCTGATGATTTAACGGAGCAATATGGTAAGTTAATTATTATATTAAAAAAAGAAATATAAATAAACTTGTTAATATATCTTCCTTATTATTTATAAAATATATATTATCCATAAAATAACTTTAAAAAATTATGTGTCTCGTTCTTCAGATAAGAGATAGTTTTAATAATATTTACCGATATTACCGGTAGCTATGTAAAATATAATTTCATTTTTCATGTGACAAATTTATTAATAAATGTGAGTTAATACACTGTAACTAGAGACATTTTTGAGCTTCTATTTATTTATTTAAATACGTGTATGTGTATCAAAATTATGTTTTTTATATTACAGAACAAGTATCAAATACATTGGAAGAAATTAATAAAAATGTAAATGTATTACAAAAATTGAAAACAATTTTTCGAAGAATGGAGGTTTTTGCCGCCTGCATTGATACACTTCATGAACGTCATCTTCTTAATAATAAACTGGATGATGATTATGTTTCGAACGAATTTTCGATGGAAACTAATGAACACCGAGACTCAGATATAAATCCATAAAAGGTAAATGGAAAATATATAATATATATAAATATTTCTATTTTTGTATACTATGTTAGTTTTTTATGTATTTTATAATTGATTTATAAAAATATTTGTTTTATTTATGCCGACTATATTACACATTCACACATCTATTACATTGTAATAACTACATTATTATGATCAAAGAGAGAAGAACGAATAATAGATACGTATATCATACATACATACATATAAAGTACATTTCAATTGTTTTTTTATCGCACAATATGTTATTATATTTAATATGTATACTTAATATGTAATATTCTCTCTCACACGAAATTTGTTCGTAAACCTATGGATATTTGACAAAAGCATGCCATGGTATAATTAGTGCGTTGCTCATATGCCTGCGCATAGGCCTTGAACTTATTCATGCTAATTTGTTACGATTTATATGTAGCTGCGTTAATCCGATAACGTTCCCATGCGTTGGTTAAATGACGATTACAATTGGCCGTTCGATGATTATAAAACTGGCAAAGTAGGTCAGGCTCGTAAATCTTTAGAATAGTTCTTGATTATGCATAATCTTTTAAGAGGTGCCATTTTTACTTTAAAATAAATTCTAGATTATAATTCTGTATTTTACTACACATTACAAATGTCTTCTTTAATATTTATACATGGCAATGAAATTGCTACCTACGTCATTAATTACTAATTCAATTGTGCTACATCGTTTTATTTAATGAAGATATTTATTATATTTCAAGTTAACGCATCAATGTATCGTGTAATCGTTTATTAAAAGTATATAAAGCATATATTTTTGCAAATTGCACAACATCGTGTACGAAAAAATTCAATTGATTTATTTAACAATTCTAACATTTAAACTGATCGAAAATGTTGCAAAATATTCAAAGTTACGTAAATGATATATTTAATAAAGTAGGATAGCTGATCTTATCAAGTTTGTTATTGATTTGATATAGCGTTGCACTTCTTTATTAATGTCAGCACCCAGCCAATCACGATTTAATCGCGCTCTGACCTTACACCTTACCAGTTTCGTGAAACATGCAAGATCGACCACGACAGTTCGATCACTATTTCGATCACCGGATGAGCATTTTGGTAAATTGCCTTGTAAATCACGGCACGTCCTGCACGCGTCTTGTTAAATTTATGAATTACACGCAAGCCTTCGTGATCGATGATCGATGCAAGCCTTTTCCTGTCGAAACAAAAGGTGAAGCGCGATTGTTGTTAAAACGACATAATTCCATACGCGCCTTACTGCTACTATAAACAGATGTGGCAAAGCGCGATGCACTTGGCGTGTAGGCAAACACATTCCTACGATAGTCTGGCCATAAAATACTGGCAACATAACAATAAATTTTCCGTCGCTTTCGTGCACACGCTGCCGGATGAGCCTCCTTTGTAATCTGTAAAGTTAACATTTCAAACTCGACCGTATTCGCTGACGAAGAGACGCGATAACGGGCACAAATGATAATGGAGAAACTATGCTAGATACTCAGATAAATTCTTATAAGAAATGCGCTAGAAACTTTAAGGGATAATAAACTTTGCAGGAAAAACTGTGCTCAATTTTTATAAATCTGTTTCTATTGTATGATACTTATAAAAATCACGAAAAAAAGAAAATATAATTAATATATTTTTATATCTATTAGACTTTTCAATTTTAATGAATGCTCCTTATAATTGCAACATGGATAATTTTTGCAAATTATTTGTTGCAGACACATAAAAAAATAATGTAAGCTTTAAAAAAAATTGTTTTTTTGAAAGAGGTAAGTAATAAAAAAAAAAAAACAACACATAAGCAAGCAACTTCTAGATATTATTTAATGTTTTTGATATATAAATAAATTTTTAATTGATTAATATGAACAATAAAAAATCAAATATTTAATTCGACATATCGTTTAGATTGATTAAAATAATTGCGGCATTTTTATATTTTATATAATTTATATGAGGCGTCAGTATAAGACGAATTTTTTTACTTAAAGTTTGATCTCGTGTAATTGCGAAATATATATATTATACGAAAGATTAGATCAAATTTCTTCGAATCAACTAGAAAAACTTAAATTGTTAATACAATCAAGATAGTAATTACGAAAGTTTGCCTGAGTGACTTTCTTGAAAATTAAATATTGTTATATGCGTTTTATGGACTGTTCAATTTCACATATAATTTAGTAAGAAATGCTAAATTTAACCACTGATATATGAGGATCTATATTGAGAATAGATGCTAGATGATAACGATGCAGAGCAGAGCTTCGAAGGGTTGTTTCCTGGTAACGTCCTGAAAAGGAGCTAGGCTTTATGTGTTGGATTCTCATAAATTTTGTTGGCAATGCTCGGTAACAGAACATAGCCACATTTAATCGCATCTTTCGTAGCGATCGAAGTTCAGCCAGCTAGCTTCGTATTCAGATTCTCAAAGAAGGCGGTAAGGTAACCACCTTATGGTAGAGTATTTTCTGCTTTAGTGGTGGCAGCACGGAGAGTGTTTCGTAGTGGGGATGCTTCAAAGGCTTAAAAGGCCTTCTGACGTCCTTGTAACACGCAGTCTTGGAATCAAACATACTTGTATCCCGTGTAAGTAAGTGGATCGAAAGTGCGAGGAGTATTCTCACTTAAGTTGGCTATTGTTGGTTCCACGTTAAATTTTCATCGATGTGATCTTGTGTATGGTCGAGATCAATTCGTTAAGAAATCAAACGAAAGAATAGAACCGAGTGGAATAAAAGTTTATGTAAAAAAGGAAGTGATTTTTTTTTCTCGCGAGTTATCTCTTTGCCAGAGTCTTCATTTGTGATTTGTGACATCGTATAAGTGATAATAATTTAATTATTTGCATAAAACAATCTATCGAGAAACAATGAAAGACGGAATGTGTTTCCAAATAATTATATCAATTTTATTGGTCATATCAATATTTTCGCCGCCAATGTCCGATGCCCTTACTACTTTTGGGAAGACCAATCCGAATCAAAATACTCCAACAGCATCACCAACACCAAGTACGTATATAAATTAAATAATAAAAATTTAAAGTTAATAATGCGATTAGCATGTATATCTAAATAAGTATATTTTAAGAATAATAATATAATAATTTACTTTTTTTTTGCAATGTTTTATTTATTTTAGTAAAGTTATATAATTATACTCTATTATTATTATTATTATTTCGAAAAAAGTACTTGTTTTAATAAATTTTTGATATATTAGATTTTTATAGATTTTTTACACAAATAAATTATTAACTTGTATTTATCGTGTGATATAGATATGTGTTTAAACAACTTAATCACAATTAATAATTTTGAAGTCTATCTAATAGAGAAAAAGCGCATATTTATCAAGACATATTTATAATCGATAAATATCTTAATGCGTATAGCAATTTTATTTTAACGTTGTCTATTTATTTCATATTAAACAGAAATTCTAAAAATCGTAGAATCGTAATTATAGATTCCGTAAGAATCGTAATTATAGATTCCCTATTTCTTTAATTCAGATATATATA